ATGTTGGTGCCCATACGGATGGGCACCAGTATGGCGTCTCCATACAAATCTCTATAAATTTGGGTAAAAAATTTCTCCACATATCTCGCATAAGAAAAAATCCTGTGACCAGAATCTTGGCGAGAGTCTTTGCATATTTACCTGCTTTCAATTCTCAGATTTTGGACTGAATCTATTGACCGGTTTTGATTTTGATTTTAATCTATTTTGAATTGCGTGACACTGAAAACCAGCAATTTCGTTGTTATCGTTTTTGGCTATCTAGGTGCATTAGAGTTATATGACAGTTGATATAAACTGGTGTCTTAACAAATCATGTGGCATTTAACATGAGCGCGAGACCTCCTGTGTCATGACATTAAATTAATTTAATACTTACTTTCTTATTTGCTCAATTAATTTGCATAAATCATCCCCAAAAATATGACAGAATTTGCAAACCATTAGTCTGCAAAAGTTTGCTATAGGAGAACTATTTGTTAGTGATCAAGCTTAGATCATTCTTTGTTGGATATCAGGCTTCTGTAATTAAGTTCCCTTCAAGTGCATACTTTCTCTTTTATGACTGAATTCCATAATTATTACACTTACAGGATTTGGTTCATTGGAGCTCTGTGATAAAGTACACTTACCTCCATGTTCACCTCATCAGTGGATACTGCGATGCAAGTTTACAAATTCGCTCTGCCGTATTTATTTCTCGACATGCAGGGTTAACACAGCACGGAAAAAAATTACATGTGATTCTGCAATACACTCGTCTGGAAGCCTGGAATGTTGCGAAGCTCGGTGCACTTAGCTTAGTGAGAATGACTAACAGTTAACCTAGGCTTTATCTTGCTGTTAAGAGATTTAATATCAATAGTTTGTTTATTAGAATGGCTACAAAATGAAACTCTATTTTTCGAATTTTCCAGACAATTGTTATTATTTTTATCTATATATGCATATGTCAAGGTTTTGGAAAACTAAGACAGGTTTTTGGGTGAGATATTTTTTTGGTTAAAAAGAAACTATGAATAACGAGATTCGGTCGTGTTTCTTCTACGAGTTTGACAGCCACTCTTAGGGAAAAAAATAAATATTCTACTATCTTCAAGTCACTGAAAACTATGATTGCAACCTCTTGTGATCTACGGACCTGATTTACATAAATAGCTAGTTTTTTATTAGAGTGTAAAATAACCAAACTCGATTTGAGGGACTTGGCCTTGACCAATATCCAGCCATCTTGACCTCACACTTGGTCAATAACCCATAAATCTAAGTGACCATGTACCTCGGATTAGGTTCGCGAATCTCGAACGTTTTCTTCTTGGTAAGTACTGCAGGACGAAAATTCAGAAAACAAAAAGAGAATGGAAGCGACAGAGACAGCTATACGTCTTCTCGCAAGACAAAACTGAGGAATAGGATGAGAATCTCAACACAGAGAGTTAAGGTTTACTTACACAAGCTAAGCGACGTCATTCATATCAGGGATCCCATTCATTTAAGAACGTACTGTACCTACGGCTGGTTTGCTGGGAAGCTGAGTGTCAATAGAATGCATCTGCCGTGTTATCTGGACTGTCGCATTCCTGCATCCGCTTACTTTTGTCAAAACAAATTTTACACCTCGCCAGACCAGATAGTTAGCTGTCAACGACTAAAATTATTCGCAACTATACTGAGTGTCTGATAAAACCTGTCTACCATTTTTATACAACATTGTTATTAGTCTTGGAACAAATCTGTTAAGGTCTAGACATTTAATTTCCGTTTACCTGTCTTCTTTCTTTCAAATAAAGCAAAGTGACCAATTATTATTATTTTTTGTTCTTCTAAGACTGATGATTACAACTGCAATTTAAGAAACAGCTTTCTCGACCAACTCGAGAATGGAATTTCTTACTTTTCCTTCCAAACAGTGACTGCTATGTGGTTACTCAGCTTTTGGTTGAACTTTCCGGCAGAAATTTTACACCCGTAAATCAATTTTCTATACATGTAAACAACGACGAGACTGAAAGCAATCCCCTCATCGGGCAGTCCCGGGTTGGACACACAGCCGCACGACTAAATAACGAAGGATTCCTTCCCCTCTTGATAAAACGCGCTTCAATTACACTAAGGATGTCTAAATGTCAAGCAAAGAAGCTTAAGATATAGGTTGTCTAGTTCCTTCTAGACTAGAGCCTTTCCCGCAGGCAAACATCAGGAGTTACCGCCCTAGTAAATGTTCTGTTTCCCCATTCACCCCTTCAAAGATTTCAGGCGGATTCTTTTTTTTTTTTTTTTGGATAGGAGGCCATATTCATTTGGTTCTGTGGGTTTTTCTGTACCGGGAATACAACAGCAAACCCTAACATGCAAAGTATAAAGCTCACGGAAAGCCTTTGAGGGCCACGGATTTAACCGTGGGTGCATGCGTCCCAGTTGTACTTTTCCTGAAGTACAGTCGGTGCATCTCAGTTCAAAAGACGAGAATGATAACAACAAGAAACTTTATTTGTATGGCCATAAAATTCAAAGAGTAAAACAAAAGCATGCGACTAAAAAGAAAGAAATATTAGGTAAGGTGAGACAACACCGATACAAACTGAAAAGTACATCAAAGGTATAAACCATTTCCGAGTTGCTCCTAGTTATTATTTTGTTTTTTACAGGTTAGTCATTTTAATAGTCATTTAATTTTACCCATGTTTTAAAATCATTGTAGAGAGGTATTGGATAGCGATAGAAATAGCGTTATATAAATAAATATTATCTTACCTCTGTTTCAAACCGAGTCTCGGCCGGTGAACAACCTTTCATATTGAAATGAGTTTTCTTGCACGTTCATCAAACTCATTTCCATATGAAAGGTTGTACATCAAAACTCGTTTTGAAACAGAGGCAAAAGCAATTCGGAAATGGCTTTTTTGATTTCTGTCTTAAAAAGTAGGGATCAATTATTGATTCTGGGTAAACGAACTCAAGTACCACTTATCCAGTACGAATAACATTTTGAGTACTTATGCCAAATCGTACCTGTCATAACGAGCCAGACGTTCTTAGCAACCAAAAAACAGACCGGGGATCCCGTGGAGATGTAGAACGTTTAGTCCTACATCTCCACGGGATATCCAGTGGCTTGTAACATTCCAGTGTAATCATGTCCCTGTTGGTGATCTTTTATGTGCCACAAGACGCGTCAAGTTTAGCGTGAATGTGTCATAATCCTAAAGCGTGAAAGTACATTTACCGTAACACAGATTCATCGTGCCATTAAAAACGTGTCAGAAAGGTACTTAACATAATTAGTCGGCGATTCTTGAAGTCGATTCACGCGAAGAGTTTCGATTAAAAGAAAACTGTTGTTTTTTAACGTTGGAACAATATGTTTTCTAGGCTGGCGCGCAACCGCCGGTTTAAAACTTAGAGGCTTTCATATATTCGTACTCTTGTAAAGCCCATGCCAGTAACATGTATAGGTGAAACGTTTTAGCTAATCTCAGTTATCACTGCTATTTTTAAACCGAAGCCGACTATGCCCGGCAGCCTAGAAATGCCCGAGAGTCAGAAATGTTCGCAGATTTTCCACGGAAAGCCCAATTCAAACCTGTTTAGGGAATCTCTGAATATATGTTTGTTCATAAATACCCAGTGATTCCAAGGATAATTTGACTATTCCGGTAGTCGAACTCGAAAATCATATGTACCGACACTTTGAAAATCAGTTAATTCTATGGACAGTCAGAAATATCACAAAAATTATCACAGACTTTTTCAAACCTCTCAAGAGTATTCTATCTTTATTCAGAAATGTTAGTTAAGCGATTCGGGGAAACGCTTCATCTGAGCAGCACACTGTAAAATAGCATGTTTATTTCGATCAGACTCCCGAGCAAGATCAAAATGGATCAAATTCTCGGCAGTAAAGAATTGAGGGTATACTATGAGTACTTTAATATCTAAAATTCTGTTACTGTGAACTGCTGGTCACGTTTATACATATGCACTGGAGGAGTGGACTGAAACAACTTCGACCCGCCGGGGCGGCCTGCCACTGAGTGACTCGAGCGTAAATGCTTCTTTACACATGCCTGCGACCTTATTACACACGCAGCATAGTTGTCCAGCATCCGGGTAGAAGTCAAAGGCAGAAAATGCAAAAAAAAAATATGGGCTACAAAGTCCATTCGACATGTTTTGTTTTCTTCCCCAAGGTCCCGAAAGCGGTGACCTTGATTATTAGATGTCTAGTTGCTTCTAGGGTGAAGAGTCAGCTAGTCATTATTAAAAAAGATTCGGGTGTGGGACGATGTGCACCTNCCTGGGGATTTTAGGCTAAAAACAATCTAGTGAATATTCTTAGATTGTATTGTATTTACAAAATTTAAACACAAAATATTATAATCTTTTCATAATCTCAATCTCAGGTTTATTCTTAAAATATTCTTAAAACTACAGCCCGATATTCTCATAAAAAATATTCTCATAAAAAAGAATACGTGTACTCATTTCATTATCAATTTCTTTCGGGAAAGAGGACGTTTGAATGGAAAAAAAGTAAAAAGAAAGATAGAAGTCCCCGCCCCTTTGCCCCAACCCGAGAAAATAACCCCTAAAATCTCGCACTTAAAATAGCATGTGTTTGACGAATTTTTTCCCCAAAATTATAAAATTTATCTAAATCCTGTTTCTGGTAATTCCCGGTTAAATGACCAACTCGACCTTCAGCGCCGAGNGCGCAAAGGACCAATCAGATTGCAGGATTCGTTACGGGTGCCCTCGTGAAAAAAACAAAAAAACAAAAAATACAAAATAAAATAAAGCAATTAAAAAATTACTGCTTCGTTGAAGGCAGCTCCTAAAAAAACATCAGAACACGATTTTCGACCATGCTATAACTGTCGATTACACAACGAGCTCAGAAACGCTAACAGTATATTGATATGGGGTAAAGTTATTACGTCGAAGTTTTAACTAAATCAATAATAGTACACACAATATGATTAAACAACTTATTTTCGGATCGAACGATAAATTCTCTACAAGTCATCGACTTCAACGGAGTAAACCGACTTGCTAAAAAAGCAAACTATCAAAGTACTGAGAAAGCTATGACCTACAAATACCTAGGACTTGATTACGAGGACACTCCATACTATTAACTTAAAACATTTAAGGCTTCGCATTTCATTTCTTCTTCAAAATTCACTACTCCGTTTCTCACGTCTCTTGATAGACCTTACATGTAGTAGAACAAAGGAGTGCAATAGGTGACGTTCAGGACGTCGATAACTTTGCCGCAACTCAGTTGCGTTAATCAAATTTCCACAAAGACGGCTCACGTTCATTCGCACAATTTAAGGGGCTCTACGCAACTTCTTCCTTCGCCTAACGCATACACATCTTCCTCAATTCCTTCTTCCGACAATACTGTGAAGCAAGTATACGCAGTTTACACTCTTCAACCTTTTGTTCTAGTATCTTTGCATGGAATTATTAATATCTATCATAATGTTCTTCTGAACGAGGCAAAACTCGAAATTAAATCTTCGCTTCTTACGTTAAACTCGTTTGATTACAACAACAACAAAATACAACAAGCTCGTGAACAAAAGTTCGATTGAATAAGGTTCCTTAAGAAAAGTTCTTTGGTTTTAAAAAATTGTCCAGGCATTGGTGACCCAAAATCACGCATAGGAGAGGAGTCTCATGACTTCCTTTCTGTGTACAGTCATTTGGTCAAAACTCCAGGACAGAGAAACACTTTCTGGTTGATCCGATCGAATAAAATCTTGGGCCGAGAGAATGACCCCGATGCCGCAGCTGTCGCTTCCGATGATCGTCCCATCTGTTGGTTGCCTGGGCATACCGAAGCGCTTGAACGTTTTAACCTCAAGCCAGTCTTTTAAACAAAAATTGGCACAGTCTGGGAACTTCGTGTTTAGTTCTCTTAGGATGAGATGGACATAAGAGATACTTGGGGATGCCCACATCAAGCCATCGTCCAAATAAGCTATTCTGCTTTTAATGTCAATCACCATAAGTCCCCAGTGGACGTTGTTCATGTTGACAGGGACTAGAACAGACTTGAGTGAGCCAGGATTTACATTTTGTAAACGTTCTCGGAAACACTGGTGGATGAAGCTCCTATCGCCAGTGTCGAGCCAGGTTATTGTGTGCGCCGGTAGACACAGGACAGACTCGTTTGACTTGTACTGGCGCTGCATTCTGGCTATGGCTGCATCAATAATAGTATCGTCGATGCATCGCTCCAAAGCTAGTTTGCTGAAAGCCCGTACATCAACAGAATATTTCCCCTCTTTTGTAACTAAATGGTTGAGAGGAAATTTGTTCAGCAAGTGCATGATGTTGTTCCTTGTTGGATCGTCCAAGTTATCTGGGGTCTCCATTACCCACCTCTTCTCTTCTTGGACGTTGTACCTCATTGACGCAACCTCCACGAGCCATTCAAGCTGTCCTAAACCAGCTCTGGAGAAGACACCTAGTTTGCCGATAGATACGTCTACTGTACTGTCTTCCTCTTCTAGGGTGACGGTATTCGATGCTGCATTGTCAGCCCTCTTCGTTTGCGCCATGAGAGCGACTGCCTGTGTAACTACGCAGTTTGGTGGGCGCTTTCCGAGTGTAGCCACATCAGTGAATATAAAATTCACAGGTACCCTCACTAGCATGGTTTGCCGCACGGTTGCACTGCAGTCAACCGGGGGAAGGTTACACGTGAATAGTTGTTCTCTTGAATAGCTTGCAGAAAACACATCGCAACAAGACGTTGAATTGCTCAAACATGACGGTGAGATTGCACTGGGTAAAGGAGGTGGTGGTGAAGTGACAACGGGAGTTGAAGATTGCAGCCCGTTTGCAGAGGTGGCCGGTGGTGTTGTAACCAAAGGTGTCAGTGGCTCGAGTCCACATGAATCTGATGGTGAGAGTGAAGTGGCTAAGGTTGTTGAAGACAGGTGGGATGGTGGCGTCGCTGACGGTTTATGCTTGCGAGATGAAGTTTCTAAAGATGACGCCTGCCTCCGTTTTCTGTTGGACAACTCGAATAGACACCGGCGAGTTGTGGGGATTCGTGACTCCTGCGAATTTGTGTTGGGGGAGGTCGATGACGGCATTTTTCGCTTAGGAGCCATGTGTGAAGTCTTTGATCTTAACTTTTTACGTTTACGGTTGTTGCATGGGACAGGCGACGACTTCTCAGTGCGTGTAGAGCCCGAAGAGGACGATGAAGCCACAGTAGCACGTGAAGGTTTCTTTTTACCTTTGCGGGTGTTGAACAATTTACGCCGAGTTTTTTTCGCGATACGCTTCTTTTTTGCCTTCCGTGCACAGGGTGTTTCATTATCGAGCCACTTGCGTTCGATCATTTTTTGCTTGAAAACGTTCTCCCAACAGGTGGCATCGTACCCAAGCCTTTCATCTCCATCTTCCGCCACAATGCAGCACAAATCCTCCGTGTACTCGTACCTTAAGTGGTCTTTGCCCATGAACAAACTAAAAAGCTCGTCCACGACCTCGACCCAGTGCTTGTGTGCTGCACTCCACTTCTTCGTACTTTTGCAGTTAGCCCAACCACATCCTCGGAAGTAAAATTTCTTCCCTAGGTAGCAACAACAGCAATAACAACAGTGTTAAAGGTTAACGCATCGGAATCAATATTCAAGTAGAGGTTCATATATTACATTTCAGCTACCCGGACAATAAGATCGTCATTGAGTAGCGGGTTAGTTTTACACAATACGACTGAGGCCTGATCACGTGTGTTCAACAGTGGCGTTGTAAGTCCCTTATAAGCTTTTATATTGTGTTGTTCAGGTCGTAAATCCCCGTTAAGCGATTTTTCCTATACTTATCCTGATTTGTCATAATTTTCATCATTTTTCATTTGTCTTCATTGCGGCTGGAACTACAACTTTATGACAAAAGTCGCAATGCATGGGACATAGCACGTGCTAACATGTAACAAAGCGTTAGTGCAGTTCTTACCTTTTCTTGCGCATTCTTTAGCATTTCTGAAACACAGCCTTAAGAACAAGAACTTCTCAGCGTAATGATGGGTTAAGATTTGGTCCACTGAAACAAGAAAACAGTACGATGCGTAATTCTTAATTCTCGAATTCTACATGACCTACATTTGAGATAACAATGGTTAACTACCGGTTTCTATAATCCGTTTGTATTCAGTAGAAAGAACATTCTTGCGCTCTGTGTCAAAAGTACCAAGACACCATGGATGCCAAAGGTTTTCAATTGAAAGGAATCACGTTTATTAAACCACTTACTTAAACAACTATCGTTTTTGGGCGACCATATCTCTTTGCAGATAATGGTGCTTCCGTGTTGCACCATGAGTTAGCTACAGCTGTAAATGGATCTACTGCACTATTTATATTTCGGTTTCTGAATCTAGGTATTAAAAATGTTTTTGTTACTTACATGAAGTGGCTTCACCACTGCCGTCGTGATTAGTCGCCCTACTATATATCTGCTTTTGAAGTTTATGCGAGGCCTCGAAACCTTGGTTGCTATAGTGACGAAGGGATCTGAATTTCCGAAGGAGCATTGAGGCATGTTCAACGGTTAGGTGGCCATAGTCGCCAGTGCCAAGGCCCAGTCCAAACAGGTCTCTCAGGCAAAATCCCAATTCCTTGCACTGTTGGCAAACAAGAAAACAAACGAATAGACCAACAGTCAGCGCATCTGAATGACAATGTAGACTGCAAGATTTACCCCTCACCCTAGTAGTTAAACACGGTAAGCAGTCGAAGCTAGCATTGTGGAAGAAGGAATATAATAATTACAATTGAACAAGGAGCCCACCTGCCGAAGCGGTTTTCAGGTGGCACGAAAACCAGTTTAGTTAATTTACCAGTTTATCCGCAGAAGAAACAAAGAAAAGTTGTATACTACAACATAAAAAGAACTATAAATTACAGTCAGCTATTTCAAAAATAAGTATCGTTTTAACTTCTCTTATGCTACCAAAGGCGTCAAGAGAAACCGTCCACGAAATAGGAGAAACACACCAATAAACAAATTTGTCACACCTTTAAGTCAAAGACATCGATTTCTTCTTCCATGTCATCATCGAATACTTTGTGCCTCATCGTCGTGGCAAGTTCACGCCAGTTACAAAAGACCTTAAAAGGAAACAGACAGAGTATTATTGATCATGTGGTAAACAAATGCTATAAAGCGATAAAACACAATACTGCCTCTACAGAGAATGATTCAGGTACTGTACAAAGTAATGGCTGAAGTAGAAAAATTCATCAAAAAGTGCATTAGCAGCTTTTGTCCTACTAACACTTTGAAGAGACCAGGTTACTTTTGATCAAAACAGAATACGTGTTCGGCCAGTTTTTCTTTAATACTATGGTTACCTTACTCTGATTAGCTACAACTCGTTGGTACAAATCGCTCCGTGGAACCAGATAATTCGTTAATTTAATGCAATTTTGTCTCGCTTTTTTTTACTTCGAACAGCCTAAAATTTGATTCACACACGTTTTTTTCTTAATTTCCGCTTATAATGTTTTCAATTACTACAAACTGCACCGAACTCCATCTGTACCACATTCAGCTCTGTAGTTTACGTAACTAACTGACCAGAAGAGATTGATTAAATTAAATTACGAGATATTTAGCTATACACCTAACGGCTCGAGTGTACTGGGCCTGAAATTGTACGCACGCAACATGGCCAATAGGGACGCAAAGTATGCTGGTAATGAAATCGTTGGCTTTGATCCGCCGGCGCAGTTACTCATGGCGCATCGAAATGGAGTCCTCTAAATTATTGAGGAGTCGGAGGAGCTCGGACAAACGCAGGAAACGAAAGAAGGAAAAACAAGAGAGCGCAAAACGAAGAAGCCGCAACACTCGTCTAGCAGCAGTCCAATTGCCTCAATCAGGACCCGAGGAAGAGTCTGAAGAAGCCACAGCAGAGCACCAGGAGAAATCTAAAGAAACGAACGGCCCTAATGAAACGGCAGAACGCTACCACAAACATGCATTGTATTTCTTTTCGAAGTGGAAGGAAGCAGAAATGCGGAATTTGCCCGAAATAGAAGACAGCGCATTAAAGCAGTTACCGACCGAGATTGGACGAGGGTGTTTTGGAGTTTGTACCCTAGCAAAATACGGAGCACGGACAGTTGTTCTTAAAAAACAGGATGACTACGTCGCAAGTAAGAATGAGGCGAGGATGATCGCGAAACTTAGTCATCCGAACGTAGTTTGTTTAATCGGTGTAATGGAGCGACAAAATAGACTGGATATCGTCACCAGTTTCTACAGCGTTAATGGCGATCGCACCAACTTATGTGATATCCCTGCACAAACTACCACAATCAACTGGACGAACCTTTTAAGCGGACTGTGCAGTGGAATACGATATCTCCACAACAAAGTTAAAGTCCTCCACAACGACATTAAGTCAAACAACGTAGTGCTGGATGGATGCAACTTGTTCGAGGCCGAAGCTGTTCTCCTAGACTTTGGGAAAGCTACAGACCAAAACAGCCCCAAGATATACAAGAAGCCAGCTGATACTCGCAAGTTCAGACATCTTGCACCTGAACTTGGACAAGTGAATGGCAAGCAGAGTAACAAATCAGACGTTTATTCATTGGGATACATGATTAGAAGCTTAAACTACAAGCATCAAAACTTCCCCTCGATGTTTGTTAACATTTATCGATCTTGTCTCCGCACTAGCCCATCACCGAGACCATCAGCTGGCGATATATGTGAACAGTTTGATAATTGACCAGGATAAAACGCCGGGGAAATCGTCGAAGTAGACCTTTGCAATTCGGTAATAACTTCGCATGTTCTATTTGTGGCAAGTCGCTTTTCTCTAGTGTTTCCGGTTTGGAATAGGTTCGACAGACACGTAAAGCAATTTAGAACTTGATGAAACGCTTTATACTGTTGTGTTTAGAAATATCGCTTTGATTGATACGAAATCGAGTAATAACTGAATCGGAGCTTTCAACTTGTAAGCAATCGGCTTGCTCTTATACAGGGTTTTCTGCCGAGTCAGCAGGAGCTTCACATGTTTCTTTTGTTGTACTGCGGTTTTGATACTACTTCTTCTTTTTTTCTTACTACTGATTTGGAAGTTCCAGTTTACAGTAACCGCTTAGTAATCGTGTTCCAAACGAAAAAAGCAATGTCTAACAAGAAGAGAAAGCTTGGAAAGAAATCTAAAACGTGTTGCGTTATTAATTAGTTTATTGATTTGAATAATAAGGAGCTAGAATTGTTGTAAAGGAGTGTTTGTTAAGTGATACATTGCTAATTGTATGCAGAATTGTATGCTATTTATCCCTCCGTAGATAACGCTGGCAATTCAACTGAACAACAGCTCACAAACTCTTGCTAGAAAATCAAAATGCCAAAAACTGTTTTTAGTGTAGCGTTGTGAATAGATTATATTTATAATAAACTGAACGTCAAAAAAGCATTTCATGCATGTTGTCATGTCTACAGTTTCAAAGGCTAACAAAAAGTGCGCGTGAGCCTGGGGTTTGTGTCTCATCAAACAATAAAACAATCGCAGTCTTTATTCGCCCATCACAACTTGATCATGGCGTTTACGGTTAGCTGCCGAACTTGTCACAAGAACTTCAAGACAGGATCATCCGCTAAGAAACACCACGACAAAAGCCATCCTGGGTCCGAATTCAACGGCGGATTGTTTAAAGACTCCCGAGGCCTTCCCCTCGTAAGTGTGCCTGCAGGAAAACAGCTTGAGAGTGCCGAGCAATTCGCTTCTTACAAAACGTGGCTTGCACTACTCGAGCAAATCTCAGGTTCTTTACATCCTAACGGTAAAGGTAAGACTTAAAGGCGATTGTGGAATGCATGTCCATTTTCGGTCCAATTACGTAGAACGTGTGGACAACGCTCTGTAGAATGAAGCACAACGCATTAGGCAAGTGTGCCGTTCGGTAGACCTGAGTAAGGAATACATTAACCACAAACCTCCAAGCGAAATTATTTACTGGAAAGAGTTGTTATTCCAAAGGCCGACTAAGAAGTACTTTAACTTAAAATGTGTATGAAATTAATATCCTCTTTTTCGATCTTTTAGCTGGATGGCAACAGTTGCATGAAATGCACGCAAAGAAGGCTCATTTCCAGCATCTGCTGTTCAAGCTGGGAAATCCACAACTTCACCAAGTGCGAGATGCCAAGCACTTCAAACATCCGATATTTCAAAAAAGCACCCGACGATTTTCTTACAGAATTTATAATCTGGACATGCTCACAAATGCTCCAGCTGAACAAGACGTTGCTGAGCTACAGTCATCGGCAGCATTCAGACATGGAGTGCAAGTGAATTTTCAACACTTCACAAGTACGGAAGCAGCTGTCGAGGCAGCCAAGCAAAGGGCTTTTTCGCGCTTTACTGGTTCGCCGGCCGTGCGTCAGACACCTACAAGTCGTTCTGAAATGGTTGTATCAGTCGGAGAGGGAAGATTGACTCGAGAATTGGAGCTTATCTTGTGGCCTAATATGTTTAGAAGAAATGGAAGCTATGGAAAACTGACAGTGCGATTCTTCGTATCCAAGACAACGTTCAAACGCTAAGCTGTGCATAGCAAGTTGACCTACAGTAGAGACTTGAAATTAAAAATCGTATTTTTTTCATCAAGTGAGGAACTTTCTAATATTCAAATATTCTTCTCCTCAGATATAAAGAAGGGTTTTCTTGGCCATATTCTGTGCCTCACACTCGACCAATAATAGCTATTTGCGCCAATATATTTCGAACTGCTAACTTCTGTGCAACGCAACATTCCTCAAGAACTAGTGACTATTACAGGGTACCACTGCCTCTTAGAAATTACACATGTGTTTCTGCATATAAGATACAGTAATACAAAGACAATTTTATGGTTACAGTTTATAACTTTTGAAGGTACAGCATATTGGAGTGTAAAGTACATGTAATTTTAAAATCGCTTAATGTAGCTGATGTGCAGGCGATAGTTCAGTTTCAACACATTAAAATTTAAGCTTGATAGTGAGGACACAAACAAAAGAAATAAATAAATAAACATGTCATCCAATTTCCTTTGTTTGTGTCCTCTAAGCCTTTTCGAAAATAGTCTATTACAACCGATTACTTACAGTTCTGTAGGCATGAAGCTGATAGTCAGCAACATAATCTTGGATTTCGTCGGGATAATGTTTTTGTTTCTGAAGAATAGCCAGCTTGGAAACAACTTCTTTTTGCTTGCTTGTCCACGATTCCAGTTTCGAACATAACTCCTGCTGAAGCAAAACTAACAAAATGGAAAGGATTAATGAAGTAACTTCAAGAGGATTTTAAAGCTCTTTTCTCGTTTACTTTTTCTAACGATGATTAAAAGAAGTGATGTAATAAAACACATCCACGTCCCTCACTAAAAATGAAAGTACTTCATGTAAGTTTGATAAGGTGCATAAGATGGCTATTAATATACCTCTAGGTAACATTGATGAGGAGTATAATTATTGAAAATACAAACTTGAGATTTTAAGGGAACGTGGGCTGGTGAATCAGGTATTTAAGTGGGATATTTCACAACATACTAAAACTCAGTCAAAACACGTATTTGTTCAACAGTCCTTTTTGTTGAGTAGATGTTGCATCAAACAACTGTTTTCGTATCAAACGAAGTTAAACTGATGGTGTATGGGTCAACTCAAGTCATGGTAAAGCACTAACTTCAACATGCAAAAAATCAAAATCAATCAAAAACAAGAGGGAAAAATGTTGCCATGCAAAGTGTAGTCTAATTCCAACCAATTATCATGTCTGAGTGGTGTTTAAATCACCAAGTTATAGCAAGAGCTACATAATGAGCCAAACAATCATTTAATACTTGGTCACTGATGCTAATGCCAGTCCAGCAACTTTCAATTTGAATTTCTAGAATATTCAAGTGGCAAGTAAAAACAGCTTTTTAAAGAATTTAACACCTGGTATCAAGAAATTTCAGTAAAAGAAGTGAACCTCTAAAGGTAAAAGCTAAATTGTGTGAAATTAATTCTGAATACACATTAATCCCTAAGGTTTGCTCTAAGAGCTGGCATATTCAAAGCTTTGACAGACTTTTTTTATTTGAGGGTTGCATTTTCTGGAAACATAGCCAGGAAATTTTAATACCCCTGGGTTCTGTTTGTGAATTTGGTGAAAATTTTGTCAATTGCAAGGCACCCTACAAGTATTGAAGCTGCCATGATCACTCTCATTAATTAATAAAATTAATTGGCTTACCCGTATTTGTGATGTCGATTGTCTCTGAGTGTGTTCCCCAATCTCTTAAAAACCTCCCTGAATCCCTCAATTGGGCGTAGTACTGTAACAAATCACACACAATAATCCAGAATGCTACAGTGCTTGGCAATTATTTCAAAATAATAATAAATGATTAAAAAACTATGAATAACAGACACTGTAAAAAGTAATCATTGTTATATATCATCTTATAATAATAGTAATGATCAACAAATCATGAATGAAGACTGCAACCTGTAAGGGTGTAAAAAAAATATGTATAATGCAAAGCACTCACCTAGTCTCATCTTCTGCATATTTTTGGCAATGATTTGTTGGATATCCCAGAAGTGCTCAGGCATACAGTGATGCCAGGATTTCAACCTGGATGAACCAGAAAGGATATATAACATTTGCCTATTAACCGTCTATGAACATCGCTAAAAAAAACCGGTAAATCATGTTATATATCCCAGAAATGCTCAGGCATACAGTGATGCCAGGATTTCAACCTGGATGAACCAGAAAGGATATATAACATTTGCCTATTAACCGTCTATGAACATCGCTAAAAAAAACCGGTAAATCATGTTATATATCCCAGAAATACTCAGGCATACAGTGATGCCAGGATTTCAACCTGGATGAACCAGAAAGGATATATAACATTTGCCTATTAACCGTCTATGAACATCGCTAAAAAAACCGGTAAATCATGTTATATATCCCAGAAATACTCAGGCATACAGCAATGCCAGGACTTCAACCTGGATGAACCAGAAAGGATATATAACATTTGCCTATTAACTGTCTATGAACATCGCTAAAAATACCGGTAAATCATGTTATATACATGTATCCCAGAAATACTCAGGCATACAGTAATGCCAGGACTTCAACCTGGATGAACCAGAAAGGATATATAACATTTGCCTATGACCGTCTATGACCGTCTATGAAAAAAGCCAGTAAATCATGTGATGCCAGGACTTCAACCTGGATGAACTAGAAGGATGGCATACTGGTAGTACACCATTTTTCCTATTACAGTAGTTGTATTTCACAGATATTGTCAACTTTCTAAACAAAACTTTAATAGTACAAATTACTCTCTTCTAAAGTATTTCTACAGTACCTGAATCATCTCCTCGCAGAATGTTACCTGATTTAACAGGTATGTTTCCGCAACATCTTTGTTATTGAAAAATAGTTTAAGTTTCTGCAATGGAAGTGATCGGCTGACAATGTCTTCTATATTCTCTAGAAACCTGCGTTCTGTTGACCCTACAAACCAAATAAATTTTGTTATGATGCATATTTACCATCTACTAATGGTTGGCATATTAGATAGTTTTAATTAGTTGATGTATAATACCATTACAGTACAGTACAACTGAAAATAAGGCACCAAGCATTAAAAACCAGCATGTAAATTATATAAAAGGTGTTTTGGAAGAGATTTGTAAACTCTGCTCAGTTAGTAAATAATGAACTCATTAGGCATAACATACACTGTAAGATCTGATTTTCATCAAGGATAAAGATAAATACAATGCATACCTGAGAATGATACTACTTGAATGTTGTGGCGCTCAATGCCACTCTCCTGACCAGCCTTTGCCTTAACTAGGATTCTGTTTCTCCCATTCATGCTGTCTGGTCCATACTCGGCTAAAACAGTATTACAGTCCTTAAGGCTCCCACACTCATAAGCAAACATGCCCAGGGACCTTAACAACTGCTCAGTGTTTCTAAGCTCACAGTGCAGAGCACATAGGTTGACATCACAAAGGTCCTCTTCAAGAAGAAAGAGCAAGTCATCTCTTAGCCCTTTCCAACTGCAAAAAATAGAAAAAAAGTGTAAAGTTAAATTATAATTTCTTATACAGTCTGACAACTTTTTCCAAGTTAACGGCATGCAGTTTTATTCACGGAAATGCCAATTTTTCAAAGTAAATCTGGCCTTATTTTTTGGCACATTCGGTGAAAGCCATGACTGGTTACATGAAAAAGAAAGATGGAAAACTGAGAAAACATTGTGGCTACTGGCTACCATAATGTGATTATCCAAACGATGTCGCATCATGTTGAAGAGCGTGAGAAAATGAGTCTCGGATGTCCTATGTTTTGACTTCATAGCAGGCAGCGGTGAGAGATCTTAGAGGTTTGTAGTGCGATGTCAGCTAAATTCAACACTTAACTCAAAATTGTTTTACTTAAACTGTAATATTCAAAGAAAGGATAAACAATTCAAACCTGTAAAAAGAAGTTATTTTCATTTAAACTCCTGTTTAAAGGGTGAAAACCGAAAAACAGTTATTAAATCTTGAAGTGTTTTCAGTCTCACTTCATGAGATTCATTGTTCTAAAAGCTTCCGAAAAGTCATGGACTTACATGTATTTGCCGAGTAAATGCACCTGATGGCATATTGGTGACTGGCTAAAAGCCAGTAACCACAAAAACACTAAAATCAAAATGCAACATACATGTACATGTGCATTTTGTATAGATAATAAGCAGTGATCAACAATTGCAGTAATTTTACATCCTCCTGCAAGTAAAGCTTTTCTTTCTTTCAAGTTTAGTAGAAAAAGAAATACTATTCAAATCAACTCACCCTCCTATATTTGCCTTGCTCTTTAGGAAGCATTCAGCACAAGCTTCCCCTTTCGGGACCCCTGGACATGCACATCCCTGCAAAAAGATGTACATATAAATGTAATACAGTTTTGACATAGGTGATACAGCAGGGAAAGGGTTTAATGAATCTATTGAAATAATAGAACCCCACTCTGTGGATAAATGATACTGACAGTTTTTTTTGTTCCACTAAACTTAGTAAATGCACATTTTCAACTGCATTACATTTGTAGCCCACTTAATGTCAATGCCAGTTAATACAAAGATATTTTAGACTACTTCTCTTGTGAAAGATTGAAGAAAAATTTGAAATATTCTAGGACAAGACACTGATTGTTTGAATGAGTGTAAGGTTCTTCAGTTTTAACTAACACATAGATATGTAAGTCTGTGTGCTAAAATATAAACATGTGTCAGAGCACCTAAATAACCAAGTTCCAGTGTACTGTACTTTGTATTGAAATATTTGGCTCTGGATAGCTGGCTGCTGGTCAAGGTATTCAATGCAGAAACTTAAAAAATATTTAAACTTCAAAATAATTAAATGACACCATTGTCAAATGACTTGTATATGATTGGTGTCTTATTTAATTATAGACTCAGTCCTAAGGCAGTTACAATCATATGATAACCTACCCGGATAACTTTGCAGTAAACACAACATTCAGTGTCTAACCCCCTCCCACAAAGTCCATCTACATTTTCATCGACATCATCATCTTTTCACTTTAGGAGCATACTCAAAGCTTTGTAATCAAGAGTAACTGTCATAAAAAAACAAAGAGTAAAGATTAAAATTTCTTTATTAAGTTATCAGTTTGATAATATTACTGCAGCATGGTCATCAAAAAAACTGTTGCCAAGTACTGAAACATTACTGAACATCTTCTTGCCTGAGGATTCTTTTTGGCAACAACCCAATTTTAGGTGTACTTTTAACTTATTATTAATGATAGCACCGGTTTTTAAAGTAGTGATTTCAAAAATAACCATAACAATTACAATTTCCTCAAATGTGATTGGTGCATAAACTGCCACTGTATTTTGTTCCAATTAATCTTCAAAGATGTAATCAGATAGTGTAATCAGACAGTTGGCTGTAATCGAACACCTGTAATCAGATAGTGTAATCAGACAGTTGGCTGTAATCGAACACCTGTAATCAGACAGGTACATGAGCCAATCATTTAAAGTCCTCTCCACTAAATCCACCAGTCACAACATTGATTACAATCAATATTCATAGTGGATATTGACTTGTGTACAAGTACAGCACTTTCCATTTAATAAATATTAATGAAAACTTTAACAAATGTATACTAGGTACCCGAGTTAAAAAAAAAAAAAGACAGAGTATAGGAACAACTTAATCACCTGTAAATTTAACTTGAAAATGCCTTCCATAAACAGTAAGTCCATTTTTTCTGATGGCATTCTTCTGGGCATTAAGATCTCTAATCAGTGCCTCAACATTTTTCCTCAAAAAAAGGCAAGATATTTCAAATTACAGATCAATAACTAAAGTATTGTACTTTGCTTATAAGCATTTGCACAATAATATTGGCAGCTGCGGGCTTTAAACCAGGATTTGACAAGTGGGCGTCCACAATGTGCCACAAGGTCTGCTCAAATGAAAAGTGTCTAAGGCAACATATGAAAAATTAAACAATTTTCTTGATAAGGTGGCCATCCACAGGATGCCTAGACACCAATCAGGCTAAAAGCCTGGTCAGGTACATGTAATAGAATTCAGTATACCTAAATATGCTGTTGAATGGGTTAAAAATGGCCTTGAAGCCTAAAATGCTTTACCTGTTTTCCTTGCGATTAGCAATTGCTATGGGATAGACGCTCTTGGAACTTTCGCTGGAAGCATGATGGACATTGATTGGGACAATGCCAATCATGACTTGTTGCCTCCCTATAGAAACACAGAAGCACATGTTGAACGTTTACAATAAAGAGTAATTTAATTTTATATAATTAGACCAGAATTTTAACTTAAAGTCAACATAAAGTCAACCGGACAAAAAAGCAGTTCACTGGTTTCTAATAATCAGTGGCAAATCCAGACTTTGAGCTAAGGGGAGAGCCCTGTTTAGTTTTACTTGCCCTGCCGGCTTTTCTTCCTTCAGTCATTTCTTCTTTTTTCACCCAAAATAAGGGGGGAGGCCCGGGTCCCCCGGGCTCCTCCCCTAGATCCACCACTGATAATATAACATAGCTACTTGTTTATTTAACATAAACAGTACAAACAAACACCAGTTGTTAAACATTTATCTCTTAGTGATCCCAACTGTGTAAGTGTAATATAGCAATAAGAAAATGTTAAGTCACCTGAGAAAACTAATGTTAAATGTTTACACCCCTTACAATAAAACCTGTATCCAGTCAAAAAATTGTCACCTACAAAAAAATGGCCTTCCGTCAAGTTTGAGGTTGAGCTCTAATGTTTGCTGATCAGGATGATGTAGTCTCGTCTCCCTTGCTGCCCAAGCCACAGCAGCAGAGAGACTGACCTGGCGCCCTTGTGGTGCTCCATTTGGTAGAGGCCTAATATTACTTTTCTCACAGCCTTAATTTGGTTCTTATTAAGTAGGACAGGGATGTCACTATTCCTCTAAGCAGATAAACAAAACAAACCATTAATTTTATTTACCTGACTAAAAACCAGGAAGCATTGCTAAATATTAGAGTCGTGTAAAATTTTAAACTTAACAAACTAGATGACATGCAGCCCCTACATGATCTAGAATAAGGGTCATAGTTACAAGATTATTGCAGAGAATTTAAAAAATAATTTTATGGGAAAAAATAAATTATGTTGATGAAAAGAAGTGACTTGTATGTCCGCCTTACTATATTTATGCAGAAAAGTTGTTGAATGATATGAATTGGTCAGCTGATGTGATTCATGCAACCAAGCAGTTCAAATCTGTACAGCACTCTGAACTAAAATTAGTGTATCAGGTAATCGTAAGAATGCGAGTGTAATTAAGGATTTACACTACAAGTAATATTTGAAAACTCTCTCAAAATTGCATGAGCCTTTAAGCGAGTGCAATTTGAAGGAATTTTCAAATATCACTCGTAGTGTAAATCGCTTGAGCCTTCATACCATTACACATATATCATATGACCGAGAACATTGCAAATGTGTGTACGTTAATTTGTACCGCAGCAGTGCAAATTAAGAAGGATAACTATTGGCCTGCTCTAATAAGCCAATCACAACAGAGTAACTTTCTCAGTCAAATAATAATAGAAATCCAAAGTCACTTGGTCTATTCCCAGCCTCAGGCACCCACAACCACGCACTTCACTTAGAACTACTAAGATCTAAGTTCCCCGTAAAGCAATAAAATTTGAAATGCCCTTTTCTTTAACAATTAGATCCGTAGCCCTTGTGGGCAATGGGTCAATAGCCCATGAGGTGAAGCTGAATGGGCTATTGACGCGTGGCCCTTGAGGGCAAAGGGTCTAATTGTTTTAGTATCACCTTACTAGTCGAACAGAAAAGGCAATAGTAAAGTTAGTATATGCAAATGGCAGAAATATTTATTTGGCAATAAAACGAAAGAAAGCGTCACTCTCAATTGTGCCAATTTCGCTACTCAAGGACTATTGCTAATAGTCCTCAAGTAGTGTAGCCAATTAAAATGCAGGATTTGCATTAGTCCACTAGTTGGGTGATACCAAATTAGTTTATACCTCAGATGTGGAGGGGATGAGCATTTAGCTAGAATTGACTGATATGTATGCATAACCAATTTCTCTCATCAAAATAAGAACATTGAAGTTAAAACTTACCCCGGTTCGTCCTAACTTTGATATGGTTAACAACATCTGCCAGCCTTGGTCTGGAACCCTGGACTGCAGCTTAAAGTACCGCAAGGTCCAATCAGGCACTTGAAGGGATTGAAAAAACTTGCCGGCGCTGCCCCCGAACATGATTTCCAAAACCTCCTTCGGTTCCTTTTTTTCCATCAGCTGATCGGCAATGTCGCTCAGCGTTTTAGCCACTTCAGGTTTGAGAGCCCGATCTGCGATTACAGAAGCAAGATGCACTTGATATCTGTCGCAAACATCGCTCAACGAGTTCCACACATCGTCCACCTCCTTTGCCTCCGTCGAGTGACCACCCTTAATAGAACTAGAAGTAACTTCATCGCGTAAGGACTCTAACTTCGACATTGCCAATTCAAGCTCGGTCTTCAGTTTACAGTCTTCCTCTTGGATACGTTGTAACCTTAAGGTAATATCACTGAAGCTACTTGTAGTGCTGTCTGCACACGTTTGGAGTGTTGTTTCATCTTTGCGATCACTGGTCTTGCTGATGTCTGGTCTTGACTCTATCTTAAGACTATTAATTGTGTCAACCAACCAGCTGTACGTGTCTATTTCGTCTGGTTTCGGGCACTTTTGGCGGAGAATGGCGGAAACAACACCGAATGAAGAGGCAATAGGGACAACATCTTTGTAAACACGTTGATCCAAATGCGTGCCATTTGTTAACTCCTTGAGTGGAACCGTCGTAAATTCGTCGGGAAAGCATGCAACCAACGGGCTGGTCGTCATAAAACATGCCAAAGGAATGCCGCATATCTTAGAATTGAGGAGGAAGCAATCCCTCGAATCGCTTGTTGGACATTCGATGAGCTGAGCTCGTGGAATGTCGAAGTCAACCATCCTACACTTCTGAGTGAAGGCAATCTTCCCGCAGTTAAATGAACTCCACCCTCATAAAACGTCAACCTAGTAATCCAGCCCCTCAGAATAAACATGCTTCTCTCCACACGACATTATATATTATAGCTGATAAACTAATTGCCAAACTCTGTGGTATAAAACCGCAAATCCGTCTTGATGATAGCTACAACACTGACTTATGACGTCACTCCATAGCAACCAGACTGAACAAATTTTTGAACTTCCAGTTCTCTCTGGCTCATGATGTGCTTCGGTGGCATATCAGGTGAGCTTATGCGAAGCATAGTTTATAGTTTGGCAAGTCCTAAGCGAGACCATGATGAGATCAAACGAGCTTGATATATTCTTGTCGGCGTTCACCGCTTCAGGATAGCCATCAATGCAACATCAACATGGCGTTCACCGGGATCATTATAAACATTGGATGTGGTGTTTCCAGTTGGCAAAGCAAGATCGTTCACTAACTCAAGATATCTTAAATCGACTTTGATTTAACGAAGGTTCTCGAAATCCTAACCATCACTCAATCTTCGGAAATATAATTCTTCATACTTGTCCCGCTGTCTCCCTCGTTCGTATTTAGCGGGTTCTTTTCAGTGTTGACTCTATGGTACCTTGGACAGGATGGAAGAGGGCTTGCGACATAGTGTGTTGTTGTTTCTGGGTGATGTGATGAATTACCCTTGATTTCCTCGCAAATAAAGTTGTATTGTGCTCTTCTTCTACAGCTCTCGATTCACCTGCAAAACGGGGAATACTAAACTGGAGCGCACCTGTGATCAGGACCGGTGTGGACTACAGCTCCCATCTGATAATGAACGCCTGAGTGAAAGTTTATCCCCAAATTATCACTCCAAGAAAAAAAAAGAACTTTCGACTCTGGCAAAATGCAGAGAATGGGTTCATTTTGTTGACGATTTAAACATGCCTCAGGATCAACAAGAAAAAGCTGAGCTAGTCGACTTCGTTATTTCACATAAGGATGAAAAGTTCTTTAAGAACAAACTCATGCCAGTCATTTTTAAGAAGAATTTCAATCATTTTGTCTAATTGGCAGCTGAACTAGTGAGTAATTTTTATATTAGATACACTAAATATCAAAACATAGTTCAAAATCAGCTTGGTACGCAAAGAACTAGAACATGTTTTTAGAATCAACATCATGGTACCAAAAGATGACATGTGTGAAAAGCTCAAGGTACAAAAGGAGGCTCTGCGAGAAAGTTTGTCACTAACTTTTACTGAACACAATGGTGTTGTTGCAGCATACACAAATGCTAAAAACGCTGTGGAATGACTACTTAGCAAAACAAAATCTACCGGAAACAATTATGGTCCATAAAAAAGAAAATACCTTTTTATCACGACATTGATGCATTCCCGTGGATGCAGTGGAGTAAGTTCTTTACTGGAGAAACAGCAATAAGAGTCCGATTAGTGGAGCCCCACAACCTGTTAAGCTCCATTGTTACGCTGTGTTCTTGGTTGGGGCCAGATATTTACAACCATGTAAGTAATCATGGACGAGAAACCCTGTCCAGTTTGAAATCAGTTTATCACACAATTCTGAAGAACTTAAAAGTAATTGCGCGTGGTGTTGCAGACAGTCTGCTGGCAGCCGGTTTTTTCTCTAAGGGTCACTAAGACGAGTGTTTAGTCATCACAAACGCAAAAAGCAGTATGGCTGTGGCCGAGAAGGGAAGAAGACGGGACAAGGGCGGTATGGCCGATGGCTGTCAGCGAAGATAAATCACTAGAAGTCCTTCTGCCAGCTCCACTTATCCAATTCTTGAGTCACCAGAACATCAAAAGCAACCTGGGGATATGAGAATCATCTGTAATGAGTCTGTATGGAAAGTGGAAATGACTAAGAAAGGAGAAGAACAGTACAAGACATGGTTGGGAAAGCGAGTGGATAATACCGAAAACAGGTTATTACTTGATTAATGGCACTTTACTTAAATTGAGCGAACAAACATGAGCATTATCCACTTTTTTTTTTTAAACTGGAGTCTTCCAAATACAAAACACAGGTATGGATGATAATACATATGTATACAAACTGTTCAACAGTTAAAAGTATACAGTACCCACACACTAATCATAGGGAAAAACTAATGTAATTCAATGTGGAAAACTCAATTAAGAGGTTTTGCGCTACATATACATGTATTCGTTTTGGAAAACACCCTTCTGTTAATTAAAATTAACAAAAATAATGTTTACTATCATTTATGGCAAACGAGAATATGCAAAGAAGCACTATGGTCAAACTGGACACCCTAATGCTTCTCAACTTGACCTATCAAATTTTTACCCAGAATTGATGCACCAAGCTACAAGAGCTACAGAAACTATTGTACAAAGAATTAGTCAAGTAGCTGATACTCTCAAACAAAATAAAACAAACAATTGTTGCTTGAAAAGTTTGCTTAAGCAGTTATGATGTCACATNAAAAAAAAAAAAAAAAAAAGACAGAGTATAGGAACAACTTAATCACCTGTAAATTTAACTTGAAAATGCCTTCCATAAACAGTAAGTCCATTTTTTCTGATGGCATTCTTCTGGGCATTAAGATCTCTAATCAGTGCCTCAACATTTTTCCTCAAAAAAAGGCAAGATATTTCAAATTACAGATCAATAACTAAAGTATTGTACTTTGCTTATAAGCATTTGCACAATAATATTGGCAGCTGCGGGCTTTAAACCAGGATTTGACAAGTGGGCGTCCACAATGTGCCACAAGGTCTGCTCAAATGAAAAGTGTCTAAGGCAACATATGAAAAATTAAACAATTTTCTTGATAAGGTGGCCATCCACAGGATGCCTAGACACCAATCAGGCTAAAAGCCTGGTCAGGTACATGTAATAGAATTCAGTATACCTAAATATGCTGTTGAATGGGTTAAAAATGGCCTTGAAGCCTAAAATGCTTTACCTGTTTTCCTTGCGATTAGCAATTGCTATGGGATAGACGCTCTTGGAACTTTCGCTGGAAGCATGATGGACATTGATTGGGACAATGCCAATCATGACTTGTTGCCTCCCTATAGAAACACAGAAGCACATGTTGAACGTTTACAATAAAGAGTAATTTAATTTTATATAATTAGACCAGAATTTTAACTTAAAGTCAACATAAAGTCAACCGGACAAAAAAGCAGTTCACTGGTTTCTAATAATCAGTGGCAAATCCAGACTTTGAGCTAAGGGGAGAGCCCTGTTTAGTTTTACTTGCCCTGCCGGCTTTTCTTCCTTCAGTCATTTCTTCTTTTTTCACCCAAAATAAGGGGGGAGGCCCGGGTCCCCCGGGCTCCTCCCCTAGATCCACCACTGATAATATAACATAGCTACTTGTTTATTTAACATAAACAGTACAAACAAACACCAGTTGTTAAACATTTATCTCTTAGTGATCCCAACTGTGTAAGTGTAATATAGCAATAAGAAAATGTTAAGTCACCTGAGAAAACTAATGTTAAATGTTTACACCCCTTACAATAAAACCTGTATCCAGTCAAAAAATTGTCACCTACAAAAAAATGGCCTTCCGTCAAGTTTGAGGTTGAGCTCTAATGTTTGCTGATCAGGATGATGTAGTCTCGTCTCCCTTGCTGCCCAAGCCACAGCAGCAGAGAGACTGACCTGGCGCCCTTGTGGTGCTCCATTTGGTAGAGGCCTAATATTACTTTTCTCACAGCCTTAATTTGGTTCTTATTAAGTAGGACAGGGATGTCACTATTCCTCTAAGCAGATAAACAAAACAAACCATTAATTTTATTTACCTGACTAAAAACCAGGAAGCATTGCTAAATATTAGAGTCGTGTAAAATTTTAAACTTAACAAACTAGATGACATGCAGCCCCTACATGATCTAGAATAAGGGTCATAGTTACAAGATTATTGCAGAGAATTTAAAAAATAATTTTATGGGAAAAAATAAATTATGTTGATGAAAAGAAGTGACTTGTATGTCCGCCTTACTATATTTATGCAGAAAAGTTGTTGAATGATATGAATTGGTCAGCTGATGTGATTCATGCAACCAAGCAGTTCAAATCTGTACAGCACTCTGAACTAAAATTAGTGTATCAGGTAATCGTAAGAATGCGAGTGTAATTAAGGATTTACACTACAAGTAATATTTGAAAACTCTCTCAAAATTGCATGAGCCTTTAAGCGAGTGCAATTTGAAGGAATTTTCAAATATCACTCGTAGTGTAAATCGCTTGAGCCTTCATACCATTACACATATATCATATGACCGAGAACATTGCAAATGTGTGTACGTTAATTTGTACCGCAGCAGTGCAAATTAAGAAGGATAACTATTGGCCTGCTCTAATAAGCCAATCACAACAGAGTAACTTTCTCAGTCAAATAATAATAGAAATCCAAAGTCACTTGGTCTATTCCCAGCCTCAGGCACCCACAACCACGCACTTCACTTAGAACTACTAAGATCTAAGTTCCCCGTAAAGCAATAAAATTTGAAATGCCCTTTTCTTTAACAATTAGATCCGTAGCCCTTGTGGGCAATGGGTCAATAGCCCATGAGGTGAAGCTGAATGGGCTATTGACGCGTGGCCCTTGAGGGCAAAGGGTCTAATTGTTTTAGTATCACCTTACTAGTCGAACAGAAAAGGCAATAGTAAAGTTAGTATATGCAAATGGCAGAAATATTTATTTGGCAATAAAACGAAAGAAAGCGTCACTCTCAATTGTGCCAATTTCGCTACTCAAGGACTATTGCTAATAGTCCTCAAGTAGTGTAGCCAATTAAAATGCAGGATTTGCATTAGTCCACTAGTTGGGTGATACCAAATTAGTTTATACCTCAGATGTGGAGGGGATGAGCATTTAGCTAGAATTGACTGATATGTATGCATAACCAATTTCTCTCATCAAAATAAGAACATTGAAGTTAAAACTTACCCCGGTTCGTCCTAACTTTGATATGGTTAACAACATCTGCCAGCCTTGGTCTGGAACCCTGGACTGCAGCTTAAAGTACCGCAAGGTCCAATCAGGCACTTGAAGGGATTGAAAAAACTTGCCGGCGCTGCCCCCGAACATGATTTCCAAAACCTCCTTCGGTTCCTTTTTTTCCATCAGCTGATCGGCAATGTCGCTCAGCGTTTTAGCCACTTCAGGTTTGAGAGCCCGATCTGCGATTACAGAAGCAAGATGCACTTGATATCTGTCGCAAACATCGCTCAACGAGTTCCACACATCGTCCACCTCCTTTGCCTCCGTCGAGTGACCACCCTTAATAGAACTAGAAGTAACTTCATCGCGTAAGGACTCTAACTTCGACATTGCCAATTCAAGCTCGGTCTTCAGTTTACAGTCTTCCTCTTGGATACGTTGTAACCTTAAGGTAATATCACTGAAGCTACTTGTAGTGCTGTCTGCACACGTTTGGAGTGTTGTTTCATCTTTGCGATCACTGGTCTTGCTGATGTCTGGTCTTGACTCTATCTTAAGACTATTAATTGTGTCAACCAACCAGCTGTACGTGTCTATTTCGTCTGGTTTCGGGCACTTTTGGCGGAGAATGGCGGAAACAACACCGAATGAAGAGGCAATAGGGACAACATCTTTGTAAACACGTTGATCCAAATGCGTGCCATTTGTTAACTCCTTGAGTGGAACCGTCGTAAATTCGTCGGGAAAGCATGCAACCAACGGGCTGGTCGTCATAAAACATGCCAAAGGAATGCCGCATATCTTAGAATTGAGGAGGAAGCAATCCCTCGAATCGCTTGTTGGACATTCGATGAGCTGAGCTCGTGGAATGTCGAAGTCAACCATCCTACACTTCTGAGTGAAGGCAATCTTCCCGCAGTTAAATGAACTCCACCCTCATAAAACGTCAACCTAGTAATCCAGCCCCTCAGAATAAACATGCTTCTCTCCACACGACATTATATATTATAGCTGATAAACTAATTGCCAAACTCTGTGGTATAAAACCGCAAATCCGTCTTGATGATAGCTACAACACTGACTTATGACGTCACTCCATAGCAACCAGACTGAACAAATTTTTGAACTTCCAGTTCTCTCTGGCTCATGATGTGCTTCGGTGGCATATCAGGTGAGCTTATGCGAAGCATAGTTTATAGTTTGGCAAGTCCTAAGCGAGACCATGATGAGATCAAACGAGCTTGATATATTCTTGTCGGCGTTCACCGCTTCAGGATAGCCATCAATGCAACATCAACATGGCGTTCACCGGGATCATTATAAACATTGGATGTGGTGTTTCCAGTTGGCAAAGCAAGATCGTTCACTAACTCAAGATATCTTAAATCGACTTTGATTTAACGAAGGTTCTCGAAATCCTAACCATCACTCAATCTTCGGAAATATAATTCTTCATACTTGTCCCGCTGTCTCCCTCGTTCGTATTTAGCGGGTTCTTTTCAGTGTTGACTCTATGGTACCTTGGACAGGATGGAAGAGGGCTTGCGACATAGTGTGTTGTTGTTTCTGGGTGATGTGATGAATTACCCTTGATTTCCTCGCAAATAAAGTTGTATTGTGCTCTTCTTCTACAGCTCTCGATTCACCTGCAAAACGGGGAATACTAAACTGGAGCGCACCTGTGATCAGGACCGGTGTGGACTACAGCTCCCATCTGATAATGAACGCCTGAGTGAAAGTTTATCCCCAAATTATCACTCCAAGAAAAAAAAAGAACTTTCGACTCTGGCAAAATGCAGAGAATGGGTTCATTTTGTTGACGATTTAAACATGCCTCAGGATCAACAAGAAAAAGCTGAGCTAGTCGACTTCGTTATTTCACATAAGGATGAAAAGTTCTTTAAGAACAAACTCATGCCAGTCATTTTTAAGAAGAATTTCAATCATTTTGTCTAATTGGCAGCTGAACTAGTGAGTAATTTTTATATTAGATACACTAAATATCAAAACATAGTTCAAAATCAGCTTGGTACGCAAAGAACTAGAACATGTTTTTAGAATCAACATCATGGTACCAAAAGATGACATGTGTGAAAAGCTCAAGGTACAAAAGGAGGCTCTGCGAGAAAGTTTGTCACTAACTTTTACTGAACACAATGGTGTTGTTGCAGCATACACAAATGCTAAAAACGCTGTGGAATGACTACTTAGCAAAACAAAATCTACCGGAAACAATTATGGTCCATAAAAAAGAAAATACCTTTTTATCACGACATTGATGCATTCCCGTGGATGCAGTGGAGTAAGTTCTTTACTGGAGAAACAGCAATAAGAGTCCGATTAGTGGAGCCCCACAACCTGTTAAGCTCCATTGTTACGCTGTGTTCTTGGTTGGGGCCAGATATTTACAACCATGTAAGTAATCATGGACGAGAAACCCTGTCCAGTTTGAAATCAGTTTATCACACAATTCTGAAGAACTTAAAAGTAATTGCGCGTGGTGTTGCAGACAGTCTGCTGGCAGCCGGTTTTTTCTCTAAGGGTCACTAAGACGAGTGTTTAGTCATCACAAACGCAAAAAGCAGTATGGCTGTGGCCGAGAAGGGAAGAAGACGGGACAAGGGCGGTATGGCCGATGGCTGTCAGCGAAGATAAATCACTAGAAGTCCTTCTGCCAGCTCCACTTATCCAATTCTTGAGTCACCAGAACATCAAAAGCAACCTGGGGATATGAGAATCATCTGTAATGAGTCTGTATGGAAAGTGGAAATGACTAAGAAAGGAGAAGAACAGTACAAGACATGGTTGGGAAAGCGAGTGGATAATACCGAAAACAGGTTATTACTTGATTAATGGCACTTTACTTAAATTGAGCGAACAAACATGAGCATTATCCACTTTTTTTTTTTAAACTGGAGTCTTCCAAATACAAAACACAGGTATGGATGATAATACATATGTATACAAACTGTTCAACAGTTAAAAGTATACAGTACCCACACACTAATCATAGGGAAAAACTAATGTAATTCAATGTGGAAAACTCAATTAAGAGGTTTTGCGCTACATATACATGTATTCGTTTTGGAAAACACCCTTCTGTTAATTAAAATTAACAAAAATAATGTTTACTATCATTTATGGCAAACGAGAATATGCAAAGAAGCACTATGGTCAAACTGGACACCCTAATGCTTCTCAACTTGACCTATCAAATTTTTACCCAGAATTGATGCACCAAGCTACAAGAGCTACAGAAACTATTGTACAAAGAATTAGTCAAGTAGCTGATACTCTCAAACAAAATAAAACAAACAATTGTTGCTTGAAAAGTTTGCTTAAGCAGTTATGATGTCACATTTGATGAAAATGGTACTTTGGCCTTCTATGAAAAAGCAGAGGAACTTTTGAAAAACTCTGGTTTTAGCCCTTTGGTCAGCAAAATATTGGTAAGTTTTTGCACTGCCCTAAAAAAAAAATTTCCAATGAATTTTAAACACTCCGAAAGAATTAACCAGACAGGAGTATGAATGCCATGCAATAGTTCTGTTAGGATTTAAATTTATTTTAAATTCTGGTTCTGAAACTGTTACTGACACTGTGAAAAATCAGAACTGGTAGTTTACACTGGGTTTTATGTCGAGAAGGCTCTTAAAGATGCTGCCTTGAGTGGACTCCCTTTGACCTAGCACAATTTAAATGAAAGCATCACGAAAACCAAGCACAAAGAAGCTAAGCAATACAAGTAAATTTAGAGTGGTGGACGAGCGACTGAAATAGGAAAGATCGACTATCAAAAACGAGTACTCACCCGACAATTCTGTCATGAGTGGGCATCTGTTGAGAAGGGTGCAGCTACTCACCAGTTTCTAAAGTCCACAAAAAGGAAAATGGGGATTTACCAAAACATCTAAAGAAAAAGAAAATGGTATGTAATATATAAATGAATCTGTACAAATGTGAAAAACAAAATAAGTTCTTTTACCTCCATTCATTTTAAATAACTCCTCCTCCTAGACTACTACTATGTACACTGTTTATATAAAAGGAGATGTTTCTCATAGCTGTGGTCGAAGAAAAATAATGAGGAGCCCAAAAGTTCTTAACCATGGAATCCTGAATGCTCAACACTTAAGCTTATATGAAAAAAAGAATTTTTTTCCAGTCACCTAAAGGCCAAAGTTAGTCGCCTGTGGCTCCCGGGCATTTCTAGTGGACAGCCTTGCTTCTTGTGTATGCTGCTGTATTGTTGAATATCATGGACACATTTACAATGTTCTTAATACCTCTTCTATTTTGTTTAAAACAGCACATTCCTTTTCAAGACACTAAAAGAACGTCAAGTCAGGATGAACCACCTTATGCTCCCTGTAGATCACAAACTGCTCTTGAAATCGAAGCACACGAAGGCATTACATGATATAAAAGCACTAACATAAGTTCATCTGTCAAACCTAAGAGATAACTGAATAATGTCAAGAAATTTGTTTCCACTTATTACTTCTGGTCAACATATCCAACAGTAAAATAAGATCTCATAGTAACTAGAAACAAATGATCTATTTCAGTGAACTGAGTTATGTGAGAGAGCTAGGAATTAAAACATAGGTTAAAATTAGATCATAGTAACTTACTCCGTTAATTTTTTTCAGATAAAAATAATCGAATAAAAAGGCCGAGGGTGGTATTTGTGTTCGTCCTTGGCCAAATATCGACTCCACATTAACCCATCACTGAGATGATACAACACTATCTTCAGGCAGCTAAAATATATTTCCAGTCGTCCAACGTTGTAGGAATTACAGTCGAAACAGCCAGAGTTTTTTTTGCTTCAACAGTTCAAAGTCTTAAAATCACAAGAGCCGATCCAAGAGTAACACACGAGTTATTTACCATGAAAATAAACTCGAGCAAACCACAACAGCAGGGCACATTTGTCATTGAACATCAAAAGAAAAATCGCCATCCTTAACTGTGAAGAAAACTCGTTATTCCATATGGAGACGTGCTAGGATTGCAATAGAAGACAGAAAAAAAAATATTCTGGACACGTACCAAAGACCCCAGGCACTTTACAAAAAGAAAGATGAGTCCGGCTGACAGAGTTCGACAACATGGTCAGAATTCTCCTAAGGTTCCGATACGTCTGGGTCAGATGAGAAGCCTCGACCTGAAATTAACTTTCATCAGCCAAACAAAATCGTGAATACTTTAATTCAGTCCAAACTATATCTCCAGATGGCAGCCAATGGGGCAATACGAGAAAACTACCGTCAGCAGAGGCAAGACATCATAGAGCCTGAGGAGTTCTTCCCCGTTGCCAAAAAGCCCCAAACAGTACGCGCATCACAGCTCGCCGCCCTAGAACTGCACAGCCAGAAGGAAGTGATGCGTATTGGCCTATTAAAATGTTCGGTGGAATTCATCATCTTTTCAAGCAAGCTTTAAGCCAGAGGAGTCATCATGTCCCCGTTAGTGGCGTCGAGAAGGAAGAATGACCATGACACGGTAAGAGTTTTATCTTGTTCCGGAGCTCTGAACAGCTATCCGCCGCTATATCAGCATAAATAACACGTTTAACTTAATAAATTCGATGTCTTTAAACCGGCCTGGAGTATCGCAGAATTCTCAACAAGAGAAATAAAATAAATGCTGAGCTAAACGCAATAAAACCCACCAACATTCAAACGCCTTGTGTATTTTGGTTTCGCGAAACGCTCTCGAATGAATGGACCACAAAAGCTGTTTGTGAGTCGCGCGCTGATTGGTTGAGATTTGAAGACCTGTCAAAGAGAAATCAGCAGATACGTTAGAGCGTGTTATTCTCTGTTTTTATAAACAAATGGAAACATTTTAAAAAAGCCCCTTGCCCAATTTTCTCTTATCGCCCCAAAAAGCTGACTTACCCAAATTTTAAGGGGGAGGCGGGGGTACAAACCCCCAACCCTACATATGGAGCCTCTTGTAAGCGACTGCGTCTCGTAAGCTAAAAGTTTCAAATTTTCTTTTGTTTTAACTCCCGTACGAGTGGCAATTCCTGGTTTCCTTAGTCTAGATAAAATCTTCAACCAACTAGTCAGTTTTGTGAAAAATGATACCCTATTCTAGACCCAAAAGCTCTGATTAATATACCCTATCCTAGAGTAAACTGCTTGAAAACCATAGCCTTCACAGCGGCACATACCTATATAGCCCATATATGGCAGTTATAGAAGATAACTAAACAAGACACCTCTCCAAGTTTTAGGCCTGTGCATTCCCCCAAACTTCAGATATTCGTTGTAAATGTAACTAGAAGCGCCATGTTGGTGTACATCCGTGGTACACCAATATGGCGGCCGGAATATAGTGTAAACATCTGGAAC